TCACTCTCTCGACGCGTGAGTGGACGATGACAGTGGCGACGACGGGTAACGACGACGAAACGACGATCAAAATGGCGTTTGCTGGATCGCCCGCACGCGATCAGGTGGAAAATGCCGGAATGCCACCGCTAGGAAACATCGACTGACTGCCGAGGTCCGCGGCCCTAAGTGGTTTGACGTTAAGAACAGAACAGAATGGGCGAGAACGTGTAAGAGAGACGGACGCAAGACGACGAGTAGAGGGAGCGAGTGAGACGGAGAAGGAAGACGCGCGGAGAAGCAGGAGGTAGCGACTGTCAGTGCGAGAGAGACCACGGTTCGGCTGCGACTGAGTGGTGGGGGAGATGGCGCGCAAGTAGGGATAGGGGAAACGCGCTCATCCCCACCCGGTCGCGTTCAACAGCTGCGCGCTCGGGTGATTCCGACTACGACCGATTGATCCCGATCGCGCGGAAGCAGGACCGTCAACGCGCGCGTCGTAAAATTTTCTTTTCCTGTTTATATATGAGATTTCGCATCGCGTGCGCTATTACGAAGCTGTTACATACGTGACGCGTTACTGTTTTTTTTAAATATATATAATACGCGGACGATACGAAATCTTTACGCGTCTCTCGTAGGAATTTTGAGAGAATAGGCTTAACACAAAACAAAGCAGTGTTCCCTTTTCGTCCGTCTCGAGATGCATTCCCGCGAATATAGACTTGCTTGCATATCAAGGATATTCTCTTTGCTCGCTCACTCTAAGGCGGTCGTGGGTGGTTCGCGCGCCGTTTCTTCCCTCTCCGGCTCTCCTCGCGCCTCCGTTTCCTCGGCCGATGCGCTTCGCGCGCTTCGTTCACCCGTCTCGCGAGGAATTTCTAAAAATCAATATACGCGTGCGAGGAGGCGAGAGGCGAAAAAAAGGAAAAAAAAAAAAAAAAAGAATATTCGATATTCCATTCGCCCTGGCTCTTCTCCTTTTTCCCCCCGATGCATCTATCAGTTTTTCTTTCGTTTTTTTTCTCCCGTTATTCTCCCGCGAAGCGAATCGCGCGCAGTCGGCCTGTCTCTCTCTTTTTCTCTCGTAATCACGAACGATCGGTAGAGAGAACGAGAGAAATATAGAGATATTATATAAAGAAAGAGACCGATCGGTTTCAAGGAAGAGGACTCGGAGGAAGTCTGGGCGAGGAGAGTCCGGTGGAGGCGCGGGAGAGTTTATTTTCTCAGAAACGCGCCGCGTTTGGCATATCTCTCTCTGCCTCTTCTTCTCCCATCGCCTCCGAATAAATTCATTCAGACGTTCTCGCTCGTTTACTCGCTCGCACGCGAATCTTCCTCTCCCCCGTCTCCATCTTCCCATCATGCCGCATCGCCTACACGATGCACACGCGAATAGCAATTAAACGGATTAACGATATTTTACATATTCGGCTGAACAATGTAATTCGCATCTCGGCCGCGTTTAATTGGCGGAGATGCGACGGAATCGAGGAACCCTCGGGATCGCGTCTCGTGAGAAAATCTAGTCGGATCACGCGAGAATCGCGGTCTGTTTTAACTATACTCGGGTCTCGTGACTCGTGTCATTCTTTTTTCACATCGATCTCTTTTTATAATTTACCGGAACGGTCTTTTCAGTCGTCTCTCTATTATTTAATAGTGAGATCATGCGTCACTCGAGAATTACTCAGCACTGAAAACTGTAGTGGGCAGTTAAGCTTCTAGAGAGCGTAAGCGGATAACGCGATGTTATTTTACGCGATAGACTTCAACAGGAATTTAATTTCAAGGTTGAGCATTTACAACAGTAAAGATTATTCCGAAAACTATGTTGGAAATTTCAGAGGGACATCTGTGTCGACAAATTTGGAGCAGCTCTCATTTTGAACCGCTTTGATTACTCCAAATTCATCGCAAAGCATTCCTCCGAGACTCCATTGCATTACCAATGAGATGGGCATTCTGTTCGCCCATTAAAATTATGAGCCAGAAACGGAATTGTTAGGCTAAGTTGTTCGCCGATCACAAAACTGTCGATGCAATCGGGCCGGAGAGAGATATCGCGACCGGATTCTGTTCGATTGTTCGATTCGCATACGCTTTCACCTTTCTACTTTGGACCCGATGCTCTTTTTACGCGTTTAGAATCGATGTTTCGAAGCGATACTACTCGATCCCTCTCATGAGATTCTGAGAGAAGGCCAAGAAATGCGCAATTTTGTAAATGTTTTATTCAGGTTTTCGAGAATTAATTTTGCCCTCATTGATCTGTTATATTAAATAAAACATGACTAACGAGGAAAAATAATTCACAAAACTCTTTTTTACTTGAATAAAAAGCTATTAAACGAATTATTTTTAAATAATTAAATTATTGCATCGAGAGATATACATATAAAATTGTATTAAATCGCTTTAATAAACTATTATAATAAATAATGAAATCTTCTTTTTCAACAAGCTTCTTTCACATATCAATTATAATATTATATATATAGCCTTTATAAATATAACTTAAGATTTAAATATATTTCGTAAAAACGTTTTCAGAGATAGGGGAAGGGAATACCAAAAGAATATTATTTAAAAAATAGAGTAATCGCAGCGTACAAAACGCATCTTAAAACTGCACGAATTCGCTTCTGATTCTCCAAAGGTTAAGAATGCGACAAGAAATTCTGGATTGATATATCCTTCTTTGATCTTTATAAAAGGGAAAATGTCGCGTTTCTCTCTTATCATGGTAACTGGCTTAGAAGGACGGAATGGGAGGACGAGAGAACGAGAAATAAAGCGTGTACTCTGGGCGATGCGGTTTCCACGGATCGCCTTGTAGAAGCCGCGATCGAATGAGATTAAAAGGGAAATTATTCGTTTCACCCCTTGTTTCCCAAAACGTTTATCTTGAGTATTAGATCAAGATCCAATGATTATCTTCCGAAAGTTTCATTGAACCGCGAGATTAAACGGGCGAGATTCGAGTGATTTCTGACAAACGCTTCTTTTCTTCAAAGACGAGGTTCGATTTTCTCTCAAGCTCTCGGATAAAAGCTACTTAGAGCTTACTAATTTAAATTTATATTAGTTTAATTTTCGGTATTACAAAAGCGCGCCAATCAATCTCGCTTATTCCATAGCGACAGAAACGGCGTATTTTTTTCGCATACTCGTAATGTCAAAAAATTAATTCCACGAGAGAGAGATACATCGGATTTATTTCCTGATTTCAAATAGAATCGAAAATCGCAAGAATGGTTACGTCTTACGGTTGATTGTTAGTGCAGATGCAGCGGGACTGAGTTATTGCGGTCACACACTCTAGGATCGTAAACTCACGTCGACATGATTAAAGGTACGGCACTACTTAGCACAGCGTATATTCTAAGGAGGCTTTCATTCCGCAAGGGAGTGCCGATAATGAAAGTGTACGTGCACAGTTGAGAACATATGTATATATATATATAATGGTAATTAACGCATATATATGTATAATATATATGTATATATCATACAATACACCCTAACCACAAGTACTCGCCCCTGAGTTTATATGAGTAATTGTCTGTGAGGGTCTATTTCTTTCTTTTTTTTTTTTATTTGATAAAATTAACCAAGCTAGATAGTAAAATAGCCGAAGCGTTGGTTTCGTGTGCGCTGGGGAAACCGGAGTGAGAGAAAGAAATATATATGTATACGTGTATATCGGCTGGACCAAATATAACGTATCGCAGCCGCAGAATGTGACACAGCACAGCCTCGAAAAAAAAAAAAAAGAAAAAAAAAGTTGGGAGCCGACACTAAAGGTCGAAGACCGGACTATGTGCCAGTGTGTATGTGTGTGTATGTTGTAAAAGGGGAAATGATAACAGCGAATCAGCAGTTCATAATTATCGCAACGAAAATCGCCCTGGCAATCGGCAACGCTGCATGTTTCTCTCCGCGTATAGGAAAAGAAGAAAAAAATAAAAGGCCGACAAGAGATCGATTTCCTGTGCCGCAATACATAGAGCCGAGTGTACATTAAGTCGCCAAGTAGAGTGGCGTTTCGACGACAGAAAAAAAAAAAAAAAAAAAAAAAAAAAAAAAGGGAAAAAGAAAAATAGACGGGAGAGAGAACAAGAGATCGATTTCCTGTGCTGCACAGCTACCGTCGAGTTGCATTCAGAATCTTGTTTTATATGAAATGCCGCGATTAATAGAGCAGTCAATTTTGTATCACAGAGTATTCTTTTTCACGGAACCGGAATGTAATCTCGTCGAGATCACATATTTCGATGCTGAGCGTACGCCAAAGTACTTTTTTTTCGCATTGGTAGTCGGTATCGAAAATTGAACTCGAGATTATACCGAGATTTCGATGCCCCGAGTCGACTTGCAATGTGCAACATCCGTCAGCCAACCACCGTCGATCGTGCGAGAACATTTCACTCGATATTTGCGGAATACCGAAGGAGATGTATTAGTTATCGCACTCGTGCATGTGTGTATGGCATAGTTTCGAAGGATCGAGGACCGATATGATTTCGGGAAGTTTAGATTTCGATGCTACAGACACGAAAATGATCCCTCGTAGATCGATTTCACTCGGTTTATCTTTTACCGTTTAATATCGCTGACTCTTCGTTTCTCTTCACCGAAGACGAAGACTCGATTAGATCACGGTTAAAATAACGCTTGTGAAACCGACCGTGATATTCGTGACGATAGAAACGCAATGGTTAACGTGCGTGCCAGGCTCGTTTGCTCGTGTCTGTCGCATCGAAGATTCAACTCACCAAAGTCACGCAGGTTTTCGATCGTCGACTCTGGAGATCCAGATTTTCGATCGCCGGGAAATCGCACACCTACTTGCAATTCTCGGATGCTGTCGCTGCTGCTCGAACGGAGTGCTGGGAGAACAGTGCTTGCGAGAGAGGCGAAAAACAAGTACAAGTAGTAGTAGAAGAGGAAGAAGAAGAAGAAGAAGAAGAAGAAGAAATAGAGAATAATCGGCGTTACCTGCACGCTGAACTCACCAGGGGCCCCTGCCAGGGGAATCGGCCTGTTGGTCCCGACCGGAAGCGTCCGGGAAGTCGCGATGGAGAACGTTCAGCCAATCCCGCGCCACCTCCTTTAGCGTGCGGGGGCTTGGGATTGGCTGCTACTCAGCCTCAAGGCCGCTGCTGATGCTCTTCGCTCCTTCTGCCCTTCTCTCAACAGGCCCCGAGTGTGTTGTGTACTACATGGCCGTGCGCGGGGCTCAGCGGAGAACAGCAATCGGGGTGGCGACTCCGCGATTCCGCCGCTCTGGAAAAATTGCTGGCGCTTCGATCGGATTGTCGAATGCCGCGACGGCGAAGAAGCGGCGGAATTGCCGGGTCTCTCACAACCCGACGGACGGAGGAAAGTGCGTCTTTGGCTGATGCGTGTCTTTGTCGATCGGCACTGCCGAACGAGAGAGCCTCGTGTCACGCTCACGCCAGCACGATATCCAGTGTATACTCTTTTGCACCCGTTAATGTTCCGATATATCTGGCAAATTTCTGAATACTCCATAATATATTACCATCATTATTCATTACTCTATCACAAATGTGTACGTGTGTTCCTGTGAAAAATATTATATAACTGTTAAATTTTAAATAATTGTATGATACATATATATATTCAAGCGAAAAGAGAGTAAAATATAACGAAATGAATCGTATGAATCCGTTCGCATACGCAATATTAACGAATATTCAGAAATCTAGATAAACAGGACTTTAAAAATATTCACTGGATATATGTGCTATATGTGTGATATTCAAAGGACACTCAAGAATGCCCATTGAATATCTGAGTTGTACCGCATTTTCATATAACAGGATGGGAGGAGAAAGGGCTGCCATTCTTACTGGCTATTTTTTTCCATGACTTCTTACTATCTATCATCCGCGTATCGATCCATGTCGACGACGCCGATATACAAGTGCGTCGGATAAAGATCAGAATAGCAAGCCGATCATTAATCTACGATGCCAGATTGGAATATAGGTTGGAAAAAAAAAAACTTACAATTTTGTCGCTACGTGTGCAATCAGTATATTGATGCGTAATTATAGGCCAAATCGTTCCTCGATGGGAGAACTCGCATAATTTTGCAAAAGGCGTCGTTTAACAATGCGTAAAATGGGATCTCAGCATGGATGCGTCGGATGCATCTCAAAATAGCGTAGCGTGAAGCAGCGTGTTGCGCAAGACGACGCTTCAAGCTGGGATATCTCGGTGCAATTGAATTTTCATTTATCAATAAATTGTAAGATTAAATATTTATGATAGAGAATAAGAAAAAAATTCAAATTTATTATGTCGCAAAAGATTGCTGTATAAAAGATTGAAGCAACGAGCGTCGCGACACGCAACTACGCCTTCGTTCGTGCTCCGTTAATTGATCGGGTCAGCTGTTAAATTTAGTTTATGAAACGATATACAAGTATATATCTGGACGCGATATACGAGAAGGCCCGGAAATCGCGCGCTTCCTTCCGCGACTACGAGTTTTTTTTATTAAATATCATTAGATGTCTTAAGCTATTTCAGTCATAATAGCGCGAAAAAACTTTATAAAAACTAATCTTCACGACATGTACATGTAACAAGATTAACGATATTATAATTATAAATATATAACTTTACAAAAATATCGACTATTGAATTAATTTCCCACACCTGTTAGCCTGATAATGATGGACGCCCTTATTAGTCACCAAGGAAGAACGCAGCTTCGGGTACATCACGTATAAGTGTATGTAACGTACGACAATTGGCCATGTGTGTGCACGATTCACGAACGGATGTCGACGATGGTCGGCCCTCTTGTGAACGAAGGGGCGAGAGGGGGTGGATACGGGTGCCTGTGCCTGCCAGCCAGCCAGCCAGCGAGTTGCCCTCCTGGATATTCGTCCACGACGATGAAAAGGCAGCGTAATTTCTCTCCCTTCCTTACTCGGGCCGCGTGCGGGGGTGATTTTCGGGGAGGCAAAATTCCAACTTCCAACTGTTGCGCAAATACCGTGGCGCAAACGCGGTTTCGAAGGCGTGGCGATCGACAAAGGGCCCGGAAACGGCCGATAACGCGCCGTTTCCCATACCCCCTTTTTTTTTAATCAGTCTCTCTCTCTCTCTCTCTCTCCTTTCCTCTCACTCACCCTTCTCTGTCTATCCCCGGTCTTTTCGTTCCTTTTTTTTCGCCGCCTCGTTACGCACCACCTACGGCGTAGGAAGCAGCCTGGCCGCGGAATAAACGAGTTAACGTGCCTCGCTCCAGTCGGGAACGCGGGACTCACGATCGTTCGAAGAGGGAGGTGGAAACGAAGGAGGGTAGTGATGGTAGTGGTGGTGGTGATGATGGTGGTGGTGGTGGTGGCGGTGGCGGCAACATCCAAGGAGAGGCCTCCTTGACGGGCAAATGGCACGAGCGTCTGGAATCCGAGATACACAATCTTTATCACAGTTGCTGCTAAGAGGGATGTCGCTCGCTTTATCGCCTCCGATGCGTTTACTCCCTTTCTCTCTCTCTCTCTCTTTCACGACCACACACACACGCATCTCTCATCCCTCTTTTTACACACACACGCACACATACATTCTCTCTCTCTCTCTCTCTCTCTCTCTCTCTCTCTCTCTCTCTCTCTCGACGCATTTTCCCGACGCACCACGCACGATAGAACGGACGCCGCCGTTCCCTCCGTCGGACGACAAAAAGCCGGACGCGCTAACCTAGAAAGCGACGCCCCGCCGTGAGGCGATCAGCCACCTCGTTCTCCTCCTCGTAGTCTTCATCCTCGTCCGTCGTGGCACGATGCACTGCGCGATCGATCCTCTCTTTACACACACACGCACACACACACTCACACTCTCTCTCTCTCTCTCTCTCTCTCTCTCTCTCTCTCTCTCTCTCTCTCTCTCTCGCGCTTACTATCGAGACTGCTCGACGCATTTTCCCGACGCACCACGCACGATAGAACGGACGCCGCCGTTCCCTCCGTCGGACGACAAAAAGCCGGACGCGCTAACCTAGAAAGCGACGCCCCGCCGTGAGGCGATCAGCCACCTCGTTCTCCTCCTCGTAGTCTTCATCCTCGTCCGTCGTGGCACGATGCACTGCGCGATCGATCCGTCGCGAGAATTTATTGCCTCTTTCCC